GAAAGGATAATGTCTGCCTTCAGTAATGATCCCTAACTTTTAGAGGGAATGGTTTATCAGTTAATTTATGACTTGTAACACAGCCATGTCACTAACGTTCAAAAACCACTTCAAAGAAAAAATATTTAACACAACAATGTTCTCCATAGCAGTGCTTTTTATATTTCGCCAAATTCTCAGAGTTATAGGTGAGGATTCTCGACAGTTTCATTCGGAGATCGCAATTATTCAGATCTACCATAAATCGTAATCAAGAAATCAAGCAATACAAAATCATGGTCTATTACTATTCTCTTAGTTTCAAAGTGGAAAATAAGGCTTCTGCAGAGCATCTCCAATTTCTCCTGTCCTGTATAGTCGTCTTAAGCTGCCTCCAAGCTTGACCGTCAGCTATCATCTCTTCTTCACACGATATCTTCCGTGTCACACTCAGACCTATGGTCATTTAGGTTGCATTCGAACAATGGCCTGTCGCGCGATATCACCCAAAAGTCTACTCAGTGTGTGTCCGATCCATCTCCATTTCCTCCTGTATATTTTTTTGATTTGTTCACAGAGTTTCTTGTCTCTGGCTGGCCATTTGATCTTCAGTATGGAGCGAAAGCAGCTATTGATAAACTTCTGTAGCTGGCTATTTGAAATGATTTTTTATAACACGCCGGGTTCATCACCCATATAGAAGAAATGACTGACCTAACACTAGCGTTGAACTTCCGGATCTTATTGTTTACGCTAACTGAATACAGCAGATTTCCAAACCAGCTTTACAGTGATGATTGTCTGACTTGTCTTTGCGATGCTGGACCTGATATCTTCATCCATGAGGCCTATGGTTAATATGATTCTGCCTAGATAAGTGACTGAATTCATCTCTTTCAAATTTCTGCCGTCGCTGGTTGGTTTTCTAAGTCCCCCCTGTCTTCTTTATGATCACCTGAAGTCTTGTCTTCTCTGTCAGCCATTTTTTCATCTTGTTGTTTTTTCCCTGTAAGTTTTCGAATTTATGTGACCTCAGACATAAATGGGTCTCGAGGTCCAGATTTTCTACAGTCTTCTGTATTACTGATCTATTTGATCAGTTTGCAAATGCTTCATATCAAGCAGTGGTATTCGTCATCCATATCCGGATGACCTAAGACACTTGATGTATACGTTGTTGATAGTCCTGAAGCGTCTGGCTGACAAGAACTACTGCTTGACGTCTGTGGTTTCAAAATAATATCATCAATCAGCAGTACACATATTCGTAGTTTCTGTTTTGTTTCACAGACTAATTTGGAAGAAAGCTGCTACCATTAAAGTTTTAAAATGCGTAATCTCACTTTCGCAAACGTGTCTAAAATGTGCTACTAAAATTGACAGTTGCACTTTTGGGTGGAATGATTTATGAATATCATAAATTTTGGAAAATCGATGATAAATGTCTAGTGAAAAACAGATACATCATCTCATTGTTTCAGACGTCTTTCATGTAGCTGTTTCAGTAAAACAGACTGCCTTCAAAGTGGCCGTGACATAATCATGATGGAAAGTCTCTGGGAAGTAGGATTAAGCCTTCATTGTTTTAGTGAATATTTATAAATAAGACTACATGTGAACAAAAGTCTATTTGTATGAAACTATCTCTTTTTTCCCCTAATACTATTTATTACCAAAGTGATCTTATCATACTTAAATCTCCACTTTCGGAAGAAAACACTAAGGGAATTGATAACTGCGAATCTTTTTAAAAAAAATTATAAATACCATGACATTTTCGACGTAAATTAAACAAAAAAAAGAGTAAATATATCTACGCCAAAAGGTTTTTTGAAGTTTGCATTTAACAATGCGTCTGGAATTATTAGCATGATTCTGTTTAATTACAAGGGAATGGCCACAGCAAATAATGAAACTGCTTCTTTTCTGTTTGATAAATTTAATCCCCAATCTACATATGTGTTAATTAAATTCCTTTTATAGCGTCACTGATCCGCCGAAAAACAGAAACTCAGTTCAACTGCGCGTGAATTAAATTAGCAAGCTAGAATTTAATTAGTGGATAGTCGTGACTAGCAGTGGAATACAGGATGCGCATTTCGACCTATTTTGAGACTCGTCGACGGGAAAATCTAAAATTCAATTAAATAAATTAGCAAGCATTCTTAGAACTTAGTTCTCAAACATATTTCAAGTTTGACCATAATTTGACCATAATAAGAGAATCATTCAAAACCAGGGAGTACTGACACCTTTTCCATTCTTGATTAGATCCCTTCAGCAATACGCACCCATGACCACATCAGGGATCATACCTTGGTGACGTCGTTGACCATTCAGCCAATTCAGTGGAACCTAATGCCTCACTCACTGCCTACAGAAGGACGAAACAGTTGTTGCAGTGGGTGAATGGTTGACGTGTTCGCCTTGTAACCTGGTTTCAATACCTAATAGGGTTATGAGTGCATACTGTTGAGGAGCTCAAAAATATTCGAAGCAGCTGGTCAGTACTTCCCGACTTTTTAGAGGTTCTATAACTGATATTAGATCACGACCAAACTCGTAACCAATCAAATCTCTGTAAGTCGACACTTTACAATCAAACTTATGCCCTACTACCTTAACCAAACGGTGCATGAGACTTTAAACTCAAATTATTTCTATTTAATTCTAAAGCAATTTTAAAAAGCGTAAAAATGTCAGAAGTACACCCGTGACACTTTTGAATGACTGTTTGCAACTAGTTTTCTCGCTAAAAACAATACCATAGTAGAAAATAGGTCTTCAAAAGAATCCATGTAGCGGGAGAAAGTAACATCTTTTAATGTTAGAAAATGAAAGCATTTATCTGATCTGATAAAATTTTCTGTCAATTATTATTATATTATTATTGTTCCCTTGAGTTCCTAGTGGAACATTGGGCTTCAACTGCACGCCTCCACTTGCTTCTGTCTTCTGCTGTACTTTTCACTTGCATCCATGTTAATCCATACTGCTTCAGTTCCTCATCACACCATCTCCTCCATGTCACCCTGGGACGTCCCACTCGCCGCTTCCCTTTCGGGTACCACTCTAGCGTTGGCCTGACGCGCGATGTCACCCAGTGGCCTCCTCCTCGAGTGTTCAGTCCATCTCCACTTTCTCCTGCATATTTGTTGAGCGATTGGTTCCTGTTGTGTTTGTTCCCATAGTTTCTTGTTGGTGATTCTTACCGGCCATCTGATCTTCAGTATAGAACGAAGACAGCTGTTGATATAGCTCTGCAACAGGCTGTTGGAAATATTCTTTGTGACCCGCCAAGATTCTGATCCGTATAGCAAAACTGACTTGAGGTTTGTATTGAAAATCCGAATTTTGTTGTTGATGTTGAGTGACGAAGATTTCCAGATTGGTTTTAGGTTGATGAATGTGTTTCTCGCCTTCTCGATCCTGGATTTGGCATCTTCGTCCGTTCCTCCTGTAGTTGAGACAATGCTCCCTAGATAAGTGAAAGAAGTAACCTCTTTCAAATCACTCCGTTGATGGTGATTGGCACTGCATGTTGCTGATGTTGTTATTGTTGTTGGTTGTTTATTTTCATAACCTCCGTCTTGTCTATGTTCACCTGGAGTCCTGTCTTTGCTGCTTCTTCGACCAGTTTGTCGGTTTTCGCTTGTAAGTCTTCGATTTGTGTGACATCAAACATAAATCATCTGCGAAATCCAGGTCTTCTAGGTTCTTCACGTCGGTCCAGGATATCCCTGTCTTCTCGTCAATTAAATCTAGCCTAAATGAGATGGATTCAGCTTCCTCCTGCATTCACACTTGACTGACTTCGTACCTAAAGATGATACAATTTTAGAAACACATACATGGGAATGCAGTATTCGATAAGAACTTAATTGAAATGGTATTTAAATCTCTAATTAATCGACCTTGTACCAATTAAAGCTAAGTATACAGATTCTCCGAAACACTAACTATACACTCAATCACGCCTATAATCAGAATTCATTCCATCAATTTTTTCACCCATCAAACGTATTATAGTGTAGTAGTTATATGGATGTAAACTTCCAGGGATGAATTCTTCTCTAACAATAAAGGAACAAAATTATTGATGTTTCACAGTAACGTTTAATAATTAACATTTTCTGCTCATGTTTAAGCAGTTATGGTAATTTAAACCACATATATGAGTAAATTTCTGACGTTTAACAGTAGCAATGACACTAGCAAACTGAACTGTCCTCATTTTTAAAACGTCCTTAATCCATATCCCTAATATGCCTCACTTTCCAGTTGCTATTTGAATGCGGTTGGTGTTTTATTTGACTGCTCGATATCAATTTCAGGTCAGTGGTTCCAATTCAATAATCTCAAACCATTATTATCATTATTATTATTCAAATTTCACATTTAATAATAAAACTGGAAAGCTGCACAGATTTTGCTTCAAATTCCACTGGTATAATGACCTTACAGTTCATCAATCATTTCATGGGAGAAAAAATTGTTTTTGATATGTAAACAATTATCTCATTGAAAACCAATTTCTAATTGTTTTCTTTTCTATTAGCCTAACTCATTTGTTTGTCAAATACATTAAGCGCAACCGCTAAATAATGTCACGGGTGAGTGACTTTCCTCTTCCCTGACTTCATGGATCCCGCTGGTTACAATTTCTCATTAGAAGTCCAGGTACCCGAGGCAAGAGGACAGTTACTCGCCAGTGACACTGGCTGGCAGATGCGCTAAATATATATCACGAATTGTCAGATATCGGAATTCATTCACCATTGGGTCAACTCATAGAGGCTTAATGACCTACGAACTCGCCTTGTAACCAGAAGGTCCTGAGTTCGAACCTCAGTGGGTGTGTGTCGTGGAGAGTCCCCAACTAGGACGAAATAGCTGTCCAGTACTCTGTGCTTGTTTCCAGTGGTTCTCTAACCAATGTCAGCCCGTAACTAATCCACTTTCTGCAAATCAACACTTGTTCATTTATTTTTTGTTTTATTTTTTAAATTTTTTTCAGACAGTAATTTTGTTCTCGGTAATGCACAAGTACATGATTATCCGATTGTTTATTGTTCCGATGGATTTGTTGAACTGACTGGATATAACCGATCACAGATAATGTCAAAATGTTGTTCATGCAGTTTTTTATGGGGTGAAAAAACACAAGAGGAAGCAAAACAATCCATATTGGATACATTGAAAAATAAAGGTGAACTAAAAATTGAAATTCAATTTCATAAGAAAACAGGTTAGTAATTAAATTTTACAGATATATATGTATATTTTAAAACTTTGTTTTATATAGTTAACTTAATATTTTAATAGAATTTGTGATACTTTCAATTCGCCGGTATTATAACTGCATAAACCTGAAATATAGTTCAATTTCTTATTGAATTTCTACTGGAGGAAAACTTTAGTCTTGCCATTTATTTGTCATCTTTAAGTATGGTGACTCACCGTGGCTATCCTTCACCAAAAGTTTGTTCTGATGGCCTGTTAGGTATTTCCACATATCAGAATATTATTGGAGAAATTCGTCTGAAATAATCAATAATGTATTTCTTAAACGACGCATAGCGAGACAAAACTATGAACGTCAGCTGGACTGCATTACTACGTTTTTATGTATTTTCATAGGCATTTGAACAGTCGTGCTTGCCAGACATATTTAACTGAAAAATGAATTCCAATAAATGATGTTTAGAACAACTGACATGATGCTGTTGTGACAGCTGTTCAGTGGAAGAGATAATACATCCTATTAAAGTTTGAATCGGTGCCACTAAACTAATCATACCCATGACATAGTCTGGAGATATCGTACGGGTACTGCAGGAAAGACTGTATAATTTTTATACGCCATGAATCCTTCCCAATCAAATCCTGCCACTCCAGTTATTACCGAATTCTTAATCAATTGAATTTGATGCGTAAATAGTCTGACTTGATCCACTTATTAGCATAAATTTAGTCTGGAAAAGATTTCCAACACAAAGTTGACACTTGACACCCTTATTTTTTATATATGGAGAAATATACTTTTGAGAAGTGCGGTAAACAATGGTTTGAACAAATACTATATTAGACTGAAAAACACAAACCATAGGTTCACCCTAATTAGATTCTATTTCCAGTTAGAGTAAATAGTAACTTCTCAAATTAAGGCTGACATTAACAAGGATTATACAGCTCGGTCCAGACAACAAGCGACAAGTTAATTAAATTGCTGTACATATCAGATAAAACGACAAATTCTAATCACCACCAGTATTACTGATAAATGGCGCATCAGAAGTTAAACTATATTGTATCGAACAGTCAGCAATTGATTAATTCGTCATATTCAAATCTTTCAATCCTTCAAGATGACTATTAGCTCACAGCATTTTGAGGAAGGTGTGGTCAGCATAATGTGATATCAGAGATGGACCATGACTCAACCTCGTAAGCTCAAATACATAAGGCATGGCGAAGCTTAAAGTTAAACATTTACAGCCAAGATAACCAATTTAAGTTCTCTTATTAGATAAATATAACTAGTGCAGTACTCGCAGTACTCATATATCTATTTTGAGGCTCACTATGGTGCAAACCTAGTTCCTGCTGATATGAAAATCAACATGAAGGCAGACTTTCGTCTTTTACAATCACTTCCATGGTATTCACTTGCTTGTAATCTTTGATGTGCCCGCAAGAATACAAATATAACTAATTCATGCATATACAGTTGTTCTTCGAAGAAAAATCAATCGGAAACTGTAGACCATTTGTTTATGGAAACAGATCATTATATACACATTGGCAAGAAACGTTACTATAACCAACAGTTAGTGTCACCCTTTTAGATATCGTACAGTATGAAATAAGTTTATTATTATTATGACATAAGTTTGAAATTTCCTAGATTGTTACTTCACTGTATTTTAGTATTAGTTGTAATGGTATAACTAGCAAGTGGTATAAAGGTCACTTACTTTTCAAAAAAACGCGGTTATGTTAAGACAGTTAACTTTTCATTCACGAGTCAAGTTACAAATACACATGTAACCATTGGTGTTACTATGCCGCGTCATGTTACGTTCGTTAGGGTTCTCCTTAGAATAAAAGAATGTACTCACCACTCTTCGGTGCGATCAATATTTAGGGGATGAGAAACTCAACTTAACACGAATACAAGCTTCTAAGAATGACAGCATGCATTAAACGTCATAAGTAAAATAGACAGAAGAATAGAATTTGAGCACTGTGACAGAGCATAGTTCCATGATAGAATAATTTTGTTCGATAAAAAGAACACAAAGATATGGCATTATCTACAAATGAAGTTTCGACCACAGCCATTTCAAGGTGCTTTAGATCTCGATTATAAAATTGCATTATCTCCCATCCTTCTATTTCATCGTTAATAGTGTTTTTGATATCTCAGATGTTCGTGGTGCATCATTCCTATTGTAAGTATTCAGTGTAGGTTCGATGAACAAAGATTCATTGATAAACCTCTTTTCCCACTTATCGATGTTATGTTTTAGAACTGTAACTGTGCGTGACTGTGTGTCAGTGCATGCATCCATATAGTGAGTTTGTCTTTAAGCTATTCATCTTCATGAGGTCAGTCATTTTACACTTAGTTAAATTCCTGTCCTGACCTGTGGATGTGACGTCAAGGTCATTACAAAGTATTTCGTGACTGTATTACGTAACTCACGGTAGCATGCAATAAATAAATTACACCCATTCTCACATTAACTGTCAAAAATATCACGATTGCCCATAATCTCTCATTTCCTTCTCCAACTCACACGATCTCCTCCATATCACCCTTGCACTGACGAACCAATCGTCCATTCCCTTTGAGATTTCACTCCAGCAATGGCCTGCAGTGATCACGACATCATCCGAAGGCCTCCTTAATGTATGTCTGGTCCATCTCCATTTTCTCCTACTTATTTGTTGAGCGACTGGCTCTTGGTTGGTTTGTTCCCAGCTAGCGTTTCTTCTTACTAATTCTTTTAGGCCAGCCATTTGCTCTTCAGTATGGGGATAACGAAGGGGCAGCTGTTGATAAAAGTCTGCATTAGCTTGTTAGAAATCCTTTTCTTTACTGACACACAGTGCAAGTTTCTGAACAGCGTAGAAGGATGGACTTGACATTGGTGCTGAATATCCGAATCTTGTTCCTTGTACCGAGTGCAGAAGATTTCCAAATTGGTTTCAGGTTGGTGAGGGCGTATCCTGCCTTTCGAATTCTGGCCTGCTTTAACATCTTCATTCTTTCCACCTGTAGGGTTAGGATTAAGGTGTTTTATTGTTATCTGTATTTTTATTGTAAATAAATATGAACGGTGTGTTTCGTTCTCCATATAGCTAAAAGCATTTTGATAGATAAGAAACGTCATTGCTGATGTCCTTCACTGCATTTAAGAAGTGTTTTTGAGTTACGTCAGGGTTAGATGTCACTTGTAGTGTATTTCTTTAATATTGTGTTAATTTTTTCTCTTAAATAAATGGCTTTTTATGTGAAACACACTGCACGTTCTGTAATCCAACGAATGGTATGAGTTCAGGGTCACTGGTGCGTTCACACACTGTGGCCGCTATTCTTTATGACTGTCCAGTTATTATCCAGGCCGGCTCAAAGTAATAAAATCGAACACGTATGCAACATATGTAATGAGCAGCATATCAAAATGGTTCTATTGAATCTGTTGCCACTGATTGGTTTTGTCTCCATTCAAAACATTTTCCATTCTCCTTGAATAACTTCTTATTTCCTCTCACAGTTGGGGAAACTGATTTACAGGAAGTTAGAGTTAGACAGTTATTATGTCTAAGTGGTATACCAGAGCAACCCTGACAGAAACTTAAATTCCCGGATATCCTTTCTTCAAAGCTAGTTTCCTTATATTAGGTTATTCCATGTTTCCAAAGATGCTTTTGTCCTTAAGCTCTAGCTGAACGTTTACTGTCTGCAATAACAGTTGACTATGCAAAGATAAAACCTACAATCATGTTAAGCTCTGAAATCAATACCTTTCTGAAGGAAATATTCTGCTGAGAAGAAGATAAAATAAGAGCAGACGAAAAAATAGTATGAAGGCTTAAATGTAATTGTGACAAAAGCAGATATCTCTGACTCTTATCTTATCGAGATTTATAGAGAATACTAAAAGTTATGATTACAGTTTCTGATAATTTATAAGAATTCGGGCCATAATTCTTCCATATGTTATTTGCAATCTTTTGAGGAAATTGTTTCCGATTCCGACTGTCAGGGGTTTCAAATTACTAGAGTCTTTCTTATCAGAAATTTATCACCTGATAGAAGATTGTGTCATTCCCCAGAAAATGGCGCGTAGATTAAATGACTACTGAGTTCTTAATAAAATGTCTATAAGAAATCAGTGCATTTTGTAAAGGAGTGTGCGGATGCAGAATTATGAAGTATTAAACAGCAAAGCAAATTAATTTCATTGTATGTAGAAAATAATAGTTCTATGGATCAAAGTGAAATTGAAGTGAATAATTCCAGTTTTGTCTTCGGCAAACCACTTCGGACTTCTACGAAGAAATAATCACAATTATTATTATCAAAAAAATACATGAAAGGCATATCTCGTTTTTAAAATTCTTATCCAGTCATATTTCAGAAATGAATAGTCGGTTGTAAGATTTCATTATGAGCTGATATCGGTTAAGAAATCACTCGAAAACCTGCTGTTTTGTCAGCCTAGTTTTATCCTATTCATCTGTACGCCCCCATACTTCAGGATTCGAACCCAAGACCTTCTGGTTACAAGGTCAAAGAACTCATAGACCATCAAGCCACTGGGACTCGATCCAATGACTAGTGCATTAATTCTAACTTCTAGCAATTCATGACATAGAGCGACCACTTTGCAATATCTTCTTTGATGAGGTGAGGTAGTAACTCATCAAAGAAGACATTGTGAAGTGGTCGCTGCATGTCATGAATTGGCAGAAGTTAGAATTCATGAGGATCGCATCAGCTCCCAGCGTCTTAATAGTCTATGAGCTCTTTGGCTTTGTAACCGGAAGGTCCTGAGTTCGAACCCTGGCTGTGGGTGCCTACCGATGAAGACCCCCAAACTAGCCTGACGAAACAGCTGCCCAGTACTCCCAGCTCATGATGAAATCTTCCAACCAATCAAACAAATCCTTTTAAAACCAGTACTTGAAAATGAATTGTTATCAGAAAAGAAATACGGATTACTGAACTAAGAATGT